GGGGGGGCTGGCACAGGTGTCAGAGAGGGAGGGCTGGTACAGGTGTGGGCATATTGGGCAGAATGAAGCTCCGCTGTGACAGGGAGCCCGGGACACACTGTCTCTCACACACACCCCAGTCCCGGGACTCACCATACTCCTCGGCAGCCATGTCTCTCCGCCCGCGGACTCTCTCACTGACTGTCCGCGAGGCTGCAGCTCTCTGCCCGAGGTGTCACCAAGCCACGCCCACTGCTTCTCACCTGGAGCCCGGCAAACCACGCCCCGCTAGGAATCCAACTTCACTGGACACGCCCACACTTAGAAAGATTTCCCTAACTACACCCGAGGCTCCGCATAGCAATAAGCCACGCCCCCTGCAGCCAACGGCCACACTAAGTACAGCCTACCCGCGGTTACCTAGCAACGGTACAACCCATCCGCGGTTACCTAGCAACGGTACAACCCACCCGCGGTTACCTAGCAACGTGATAAACCCGCGGTCATCTTTCATTAAATACACAACTGCAACGCAATATGTACTGTACCTGAAAAAACCCACCTACCTACTGTAACCACTACCTACTGTACCTGAAAAAACCCACCTACCTACTGTAACCACTACCTACTGTACCTGACAAAACCACCTACCTACTGTACCTGAAAAACCCACCTACCTACTGTAACCACTACCTACTGAACCTGACAACCCACCTACCTACTGTAACCACTACCTACTGTACCTGAAAAAACCCACCTACCTACTGTAACCACTACCTACTGAACCTGACAAAACCACCTACCTACTGTACCTGAAAAACCCACCTACCTACTGTAACCACTACCTACTGAACCTGACAACCCACCTACCTACTGTACCTGAAAAACCCACCTACCTACTGTAAGCACTACCTACTGTAACCACTACCTACTGTACCTGAAAAACCCACCTACCTACTGTAACTAACCACCTACCTACTGTACCCGACAAAACCCACCTACCTACTGTAACCGCTACCTACTGTACCTGACAACCCACCTCCCTACTGTAACCACTACCTACTGTACCTGACAACCCACCTCCCTACTGTAACCACTACCTACTGTACCTGACAACCCACCTACCTACTGTAACCACTACCTACTGTAACTAACCACCTACCTACTGTAACCACTACCTACTGTACCTGACAAAACCACCCACCTACTGTACCTGACAACCCACTGTAACTAACCACCTACCTACTGTAACCACTACCTACTGTACCTGACAACCCACCCACCTACTGTAACTAACCACCTACCTACTGTAACCACTACCTACTGTACCTGACAAAACCCACCCACCTACTGTAACTAACCACCTACCTACTGTAACCACTACCTACTGTACCTGACAACCCACCTACCTACTGTAACTAACCACCTACCTACTGTAACTAACCACCTACCTACTGTAACTAACAACCACCTACCTACTGTAACCACTACCTACTGTAACCACTACCTACTGTACCTGAAAAACCCACCTACCTACTGTAACCACTACCTACTGTACCTGAAAAACCCACCTACCTACTGTAACCACTACCTACTGTACCTGACAAAACCACCTACCTACTGTAACCACTACCTACTGTACCTGAAAAACCACCTACCTACTGTAACCACTACCTACTATACCTGACAAAACCCACCTCCCTACTGTAACCACTACCTACTGTACCTGACAAAACCACCTACCTACTGTAACCACTACCTACTGTACCTGAAAAACCCCACCTCCCTACTGTAACCAACACCTACCTACTATAACCACTACCTACTGTAACATACTATAACTAACCACCTACCTGCTGTAACTATCAACCACTACCTACTGTAACTAACCACCAACCTACTGTAACTAACAACCACTGACCTCCTTTAACTAGCAACCCACTAGGTAATGTAACTAACAACCACCTACTTACAATAACTAACAACCCGTACCTACTGTAACTAAAAACCACCTACCCGCAGTAACATCCACTAACCTACTGTAACTAATAACCAAAAACCTAAAGTAACTAACAACCACCTACCTACAGTAACTAACATCCACCTACCTACTGTAACTACCAACCTACTGTAACAACCACTACCTGCTGTAACTAACAACCGCTACCTGCTGTAACTAACAACCACTACCTACACTAACCACCAACCTACTGTAACTAGCAGTCACTAACCTATTGTAACAACCAACTGCAACAACTACTAACCTACTGTAACAACCAACCTACTTTCACTAAGAACCACTAACCTATTCTAACAACCACCAACCTACAGTAACTAACAACCACTAACCTACTGTAACCACCAACCTACTGTAACAACCACTAACCTACTGTAACTAACCACATACCTACTATAACAACCACCTACGTACAGTAGCATCCACCTACCTACTGTAACTAACCACATACCTACTATAACTAACAACCACCAACCTACTGTAACCACCACCTACCTGCTGTAACAACCACTACCTACACTAACAACCAACCTACTGTAACTAGCAGTCACTAACCTATTGTAACAACCAACCTACTGTAACTACAACCACTAACCTACTGTAACAACCAACCTACTGTAACAACCACTAACCTACTGTAACTAACCACCAACCTACAGTAACTAACAACCACTAACCTACTGTAACTAACAACCACTAACCTACTGTAACTAGCAGTCCCTAACCTATTGTAACAACCACCAATCTACTGTAACTAACCACTACCTACGTAACAACCAACCTACTGTAACTAACCACTAACCTAGAGTAACTAACCACCTACCTACTTTACTTTAACTAACAACCACCAACCTACTGTAACTAACCACCAACCTACTGTAACTAACCACTAACCTACTGTAACTAACCACTAACCTACTGTAACTAACAACCATCGAACTACTTTGTCTAACATCCACCTACTGGAACTAACAACCACCCTACTGTAACTAGCAGTCACTAACCTATTGTAACAACCACTAACCTAATGTAACGAACAACCGCCAACCTACAGTAACCACTTACCTACTCTAACCACTACCTACTGTAACCACCAACCTACTGTAACTAGCAGTCACTAACTTATTGTAACAACCAACCTACTGTAACAACCACTTACCTACTGTAACTAACCACTAACCTACAGTAACTAACCACCTACCTACTTTAACATACACTAACATATTCTAACAACCAAGCTACTGTAACTAACCACTACCTACTGTAACTAACCATTACCTACTGTAACTAACATCCACCTACCTACTGTAACAACCCACTACCTACTGTAACTAAAAGCCCACCTACTGTAAGTAACAACCATCTTACCTAATGTAACTAAGAACAATTACCTACTGGCTGTAAGTAACAACCACCTACTTACTGTAGCAGCCCGCTACCTATTGTAAATAAGAACAACCATGTACTTGCTGTAGCTAACAAGCCACTACTTACTCTAACTAAAAAAACTCTACCTACTGTAAACTGTAACAACCGATAACCCACTACTACGTGACAACAGCCTTCACCTATATAAATAGGGACACTTGGGAGGCATGCTATAGGTAACTGCCTACTTACCTACGGTAATTGAGAAAGGACAACCCAATATAAAACAAAACCACAAGGATTTTATTATTCTGATTAGTCTACAAGTTGGTACTCACAACTAGAGTATAAATGAGGGTGAGTGAGGCTTTATGGACTAACTTTCACTCTGCAAAACAGATTACACTCCACTCTGGTAATGAAGTGTTTAATAAACACGTGGATCATGGATACAAAAAAATAAATATATATAAATAAATATTGAGAATAGTAAAATAAAACAAGAACCAACTTTGAGGTTCCTGCTTTTTTCTGCTCTAAATTCCTGCGAGTTGGATTTGCCATTGCTCTGAGTCCCGTGATTTTTCTCAGAATTAACAGTTTATAGTAACAGTTTCAGCAAATATTCTGTAGGCACCATTTATCTTGTATAACGAACGCAAATCAAGTGGTCGTTTACTACAGACCTTTAGAATATAAAATGTACAGTCCACCCCTCACTTCTTTCATGAAAACCATTTAACATTGAATAAATGTAGCAAACAAATACACACCAACCCAGGTAATCCACGCTGATAGAGAGATGTCCCAAATATTTACCCTCCTCTTAACACTGTTTGATTTTACAGCTGAAGTGAATCACTGTTCGCTCAAGTACATTCATTCACTTCTACGCAGAACAAAACATGGCTGTCCTGTCAAACTGTATTCCATCACCATGACTTGCCCTTTGGCTGATGTGATGATCCAACCCCTGAAACATTTTGTCAAAACTCCTTTTGTCCATGTGAGAAAGTAGGGACTTACTCTGCCTGTGTACATTGACAGTGCTGCCTTAATTCACAACACAGGAGTTAAACCACTCATACCTGGTCAAAAACCACATAGCCGTTTATTTTAAACATGTTGTAGAAGTTGGATGCACTTTTAAGAAATTAAAGGAACACTATAGGGTCAGGAACACAAACAAGTATCCCTGACCGTGTAGTGTTAAAACCACCATCTGGCACAGCCTCCTAAATATAGCAAAATCTTACATTTTATTGCAGTCTGCAGCTGGCTATGCCCCTGACCTGCGTGCTTGGCTGACATCATCAGAAGTGTTAAACAAAAGCCAATCGTAATACTTTCACATAGGATTGGCTGAGACTGTCAAGGAGGCAGATCAGGGGCAGAGCCAGCACAAGCCAAACTCACTGTGCAGCACTGCCCCAGAAAGCACATCTGGAAGCCATCTGAGGAGTATCTAATGTAGGTATCACTAGGTTGTAATGTAAACAATGCATTTTCTCCGATTATACTCCGTAGAACAAATACAATAAGCTGTAGATGTTCTGGTGACTATAGTGTCCCTTTAAACTATTTGCTGCCAAGTCTGTATCAAGTGGTCATCGTAAAAAGACAGTCTGTAAATCTCTACTGGGATAGGTGTAAGACACTGCAATCTGTCCTTGGCAGCAAAAAATAAAGCACTATGGGCAAAAAAGCAAACCCCCCCCACTTCCAAAATATGGAAAATGGATACAAATCAGATGTCTTTATTTATTAGACCACTAGTAACTGGAAGAAAAATATTTAGACAGTTGTGTATAAAATAAAATAAAAAAAGATCAAGGACTTTATTTTCACGTGTGAGTCTGGGTGCTTTACAAGACAATGGCCAGGTACAGAAGATGTTAACAGACTAAGTTCAACAGGGTCTCCGTAGTTGGGAAAGGGCTAAAGTGACATGACTGGTGGGGTCAACTAACGGGGTGACGCTTGGCAGGGTCTCTTACAGCTGTTGGGATAACGGTGTGACTCTGCAAGGCCATCCTTGGCAGTAAGTTAAAGGCATAAGGGGCATAGCAAGTGTCACACAGGTTGAGGGGGTGGCGCTGGTGCTGGAACGGAGTCTGGTACTTCAAGGCGGGCAAGGCGGCTCTGCTCCAGAGCAATGGCCTCTGCAGAGTGCTTACATCTCTCTGATCCACATTGACACGTAAAGTATTTACTCTTAATGTCCCAGAAACGGTCCCCGTAATCAAATCTACAGGAGGAAGAAAGATGTGGTAAAGGCAAGAGAGATGGCAGGATATTCTACATATAACGATCACTTTCATTTTCTGCAATGTGGTCATCTTTCTTGGCCCAACTCATGTCATTGGAATCTATACATATTCATTGCCACTCCTTTCATGTTAAACTTGCCTTATTCCATCCTACTTACCCCAGCTCTTCGCCATAACGGATGTCCCTTCCACTGAAGAATGCAATACGAGGGAAACGTAGGTCCTGGTGGGACATGAAGACTCGAACAGGGATTAAATTGGGTTCACACAGGTGGTTAATGAAACGACTCACATTCCCGTAATAGCGTGCATCAATACAGTACACCTCTCCATCCTAAGAGAAAAAAACAAAAAACTTAAACAGGACTAAAAAGGAAAGACAGGGGAACTGGGAGTAGGAAAAGCAGACAGGTTACTGCATAGAAAAAGGCATTAAAAGATTGCAATGCTGTTGTTTCCAGCTACAGGACAACAGAACAAACCTAAGTCTTTATTATGTATAATTGAAATGCCTCCAGGAATGGAGTTATTGGTGTGATGAGCAGAGTCTGTAAACTGGCACTGAGGCTGGGAAGGTCATCAGGCCAGTGGTGGGGGGGAGAAGGGAAGTCAGAAAGTGTAAAGGAGGAATGACGATAAGAACACATAGGTTTGACTAAAGGCATTTGAAGACTTCTCACTGTATACTACGCAGGCTCATGCACTAAGTTAAAGTAAGGACCTTAAAAGTAATCGGCAGTGATGAAACGGGCATTCCTATTGCTTGGCAGCTTTGACAATATGGACTAAGCCAAGTTTCCAAAGCCAGAAGTTAACACCTTCAGGACCAGTGACAGAAACATAACCCAATAAAACAACCTGCCAATACCTTCTCCTGCAAGGGTTAAAAAGCAATAAACGTATAAAAATAACGAGAAATAGTTTGCAGTCTCTGATTGCTTCATAGAATGTAGCAGTGAGCAGAGGAACCAATACCACTGGAAATAAAACACTATGTTCGTCCTGTGTCATTTACAAAGGCAGGTTTTTACTTTCAATTGTTACAATATAAAGTAAGTCATTCTTCAAACACCAAAGACATCTCTCGCCAGGCAAACACTAAGAAGACTATAGCTCCCATGGCAATAATTTCTAAGGGATTAAATTTACTTAATATAAAAAGGAGTAATGCTATTTTAAATGAAAAGGTCACACATGAATAAACATGGTCTATATCTTATTAATACACTGCTCCACCTAGTGGTGACCACATTTATTGCTGTTTAAAAGTTACACAAGTGTTTCTACGGTAATAAACCAGATGGCTCTGTAAAATTAGGACCCAACAAATAAACAAACATTCTAATTTATTTTCATAAAGACTTTACCTAAAAATGTGAGTAAAGTACAAATAGGCAAACAATAGGAAAAAGATCAAAAGTACACAATATTAGCGGACAGTTCCCTGGACGAGTAAACGATGATACAACATGAGGGAAGAAGAGAGAGACACAGAAACCTGTTATGGTTGGAAAGAAAAGTATCATGTCTTCAGAGCAGAGGAGGTTTAGGCTGTATATGGCCTGAGGTTGTATAAAATATTCAAGGAGTAGCTCTCATTTTCTCAACCAGCACAACTCCTCGAACTTTTTTGTTGGGGAATCTACCACCTTAGCATGTCCCTTTAATTTATATGCTTGAGAAAAGGTAGAAACTAAAAATGTCTCACCTTGTTATCCAGATCGAATAGATAGGAATCATCCTCTCTCACATCAGCTTCAGCATCAGAGATCAGCTCACCTACATACCTGCAAGAAGCAGAAGGTTTGTGACTCACATAACACCGAGCAACCCGGCAGTGAGGAGGCAGGAGACGGGCAGGGGAAGGTTGGACATGTTACCTATGTACTATTGGGGTTTGTTCTATATATTTAATATGTTGTTCATATTGAATATTACTACAGTTAGTCGTCTGCTGTCCACGAGTAGTGGGAGTTAGTGCGCAGAAGTTATATGTGTGTTTTTAAGAGGCAGAGTGGGACTGGTCACAAACTGGGGGAAAATTAAACCGGACTTACTCGCAGATGAAGGATCCCTGTGGAATGGCCTGCAGGGCTCTCACACCCCAGCCCATCTTAGCAGTGCGGTATAACTGGAGACGGACCCTAGGAAAGATGGAGAGTTAAAACAAGTAGCATTGGAAAAACACAGTATGCAAGTACATCCAACTTCAAGGTACTCATTTTATAAACATGAGAAGGATTACAGTCTGACCTGAGCTATCTGGGACTCCGAGATACTGCAGTTACTATTTAGACATAGCTATTGCCATCTCTATACATATTAGTCCCACTGTTATCCCTCATCTCATTCCTACTGGGTTTATGATGTGAACAGATACATACATCTCCTACAACAACTGGAAGTCCGACTTTACTATTGTAAAGAGAGTGCAAGTTCGGCACTCAGACTTACTTAATGCCGCTCTGTACCACTCGGTTTTTGCAGGTCTGCCAACAAGCACAGGCCTGGTTACACTCAAAGATGAGTGGAGGCTCGATTTTGTTAAACTCCTGGAGCAGACGCCCATCCTAAGGGAAGAGATACCAGATGGATCATTCCAAGTTCAAAGTGACAGCTCACAATCACATTAACTTCACCAGCACTCACCTTGTCATACCAGCAGCGGATGCTGAGCTGACCACATAGGCAATTGCTAGAAGAACAGTCATCAAGACAACTGCAGTTCTGAGAGAAGAGAGAAGTGAGTAAGGAATTTGGAGGTGCAATTGTAAAGAAAAGGTTTAAGGAGTGAGTGCTGTACCTGCAGGTGAGTAATATTGCGATCAATACTCATGGCTGACGTCTCGCAGTTCTCTGAAACATATTTATAGTCATCTGGAGTTAGCTCCTCATCCACACCATTCACACAGGGGATTGGGACCCGTTCGTAGCCATGTGCAATGTCCCTGAGAAGAACAATGTGAGTACAGGGAAAATGATCTGTCAAATACATGCTCACTGACAGCTTAAAATTCCACTTTCCCCTTGTTGATAATGATTATGTTGCTCAAAGTCTCCCAATAATTTTTCACTTGATAAACCCAACATTCCACAAAGTCTCATTATGCTTGTGGCCTGACCTGCTGATTATCCTCTCTGTGCGAACAGCTCGATTGGTAATGCCCTGCCGGATCTTACGGTTTAGTTGCAGGGCGTACCAAACATCTGTGTGCTCCAGGGTTAGATCTCCCGGTGTATCCCCCTCGTTATTACGAATTTCTGTGCTGGCTCCCCGAGAAAGGAAAAGGCTGCAAAGGAGGAATCAATAAAGAGAAAATTTAAAATAAATCCTCAGAAATATATGAAGGTTTTCTTAATTTTAGCTTCCTCTAAGTTATGGTCTAAGCTGTCCCCACCCCGCCTCCCCCTTTCACTCTTTATTAGTTCCTCCTCTATTTAGAGATTTTTCTGCCATTTATTTACTAAATCTTTATTTCATGATTGAGGGAACTGTGAGCTCTCACTTGACACATTGGATGAAGCCCTCGCGTGCGGCAATATGTAGAGGTGTGTCTCCATGGAAGTTCACCGCGTGGAGCTCACAACGAGCGTTGAGCAAAACTTCAGCAATGTCAGCACTGCCAGTGAAGGAAGCCCAGTGCAAACAAATGTTTTTCTCCTACAAATAAAGAAACAAAAATTGCTACTGGAAATTGAGGTTAGGGGAGATAAAAATATATAAAAATTGAGGTTAGGAAAGTTAAAAATATAATAGTGAAAGAATGTAAGTGAATTTGTGGAGAAACTGTAAGGAAGCGATTGAGGCAATCTTTCATCCCTATTTTGTTCACTAACGTTGTCCTGTAGAGTGACATCTGCACCACGAGTTAAGAGCATTCGGATCACCTCAATGTGCTTGTGTTCTGCAGCCCAAATGATCGGTGTCCAACCACCATTATCCTGAAAAGACAAAAATATAAATACAGCACCAACACCTTTCAACTTAAAGTGTCCTCCTACTGCATCACCACCTCACCTGGGCATTCACGTTGACTTGGCCTGTAGAAAGCAGGAAACTTAGCATCTCCAGATTCCCGCACTTTGCAGCATGATGTAGGCACGTAGATCCGTCCTCTTCCTGGCAGGTGAGAACAATTAGTAAAAGGTTAATAGTCGATCCCCTCAATGTCACCCTAGTTTGCTACTACCACACCTTTCATTTCATTAAAATCCCTCAGATAGCAAAACCTCAATACTCAAACCTACAGGAACGTCCCACGCAGGACATGTCAAATATGTTTAGCTCACTTGAGTCTTTACATGAAGAATGATTCACCAACAGTAACAGGAAACCAATCTGCCTTTAAATGATGGCAGAGAGCAACCTGTATTAACTTGACTAACCTGTCCTAATCTTCCCTCACCTGGTTAGATCAGGTTTAGTTCTAAAAAGCCTTCTTTACGGTTATCACAGATCTTAGTTGACATTTTGATACTACACCCCACTGTTGTAGTTTGTAAATATAAAAATCACTAGCAATATTTTTCAGAGCCAGGAGATAAATATTGAAGTTTTACACATATATTAAGGCTTTGTATTCAGTTGTTAAAGGTTTAACTGTTCAAGGAGCTCACATCATAATCTTTCAACATTAAAAGTGATTATAGGTTGGAAGTAAAGATTAGACTGAGACAAATACAGCTTATATTTCTGATTCTTTTTTCCCTTTCATTTTAAATAAATGCTAAAACACTATCTAGGGAAAACCTGGAAAAATAAACTGGTGCTCATTATTACGTTTTCCACTATAATGATTAAATAAATAAATGCATTTGAAAACTATTGATGTACAGACCAGGAATCTTTTTAAAAGATCGCAAAAGGGAGATACAGTTTTTTTTTCAGTTTTGGAACATCTACCCAGTTTCCTGGAACTAATGGCTGTTTCGAGGATTCAGAAAGGCGAGGATGTCAAAGGAATCACTGGCGTCCTGCATCAAATGTGCAGTGTGTTGTGTCAAAAGGACAGAATACCAAATGCAATGTCCAGTTTTAAAGTTGTACATTTTTCAGCATAATAACATTTATACAGGACACTACAATCCCCCCTAAAGTATCAGTTGGGGAAATATAGGCTCTGTTTAAACTTATTGTTCTACTCTCAGAATGCTCAGTAAGCCACAATTGGCTTCCAGAGCTCACCCCTAATATAACTGTGTGAAAATATACATCGATATAAAGTGATTTATCCCAAATAAAATCTACAGCTTTAAGGAAATTCTCCTCTCTAACCAAGTTATGGCAAATGTAACTGTAATTATCGCTTTACTATAATACGGTTTTCCCATTCTGGAGACGCACCACAATATTTAAACTCACAGTAATAATAGGAGTTTCCCTAATCTCCTGTGGAAGCTGAACTGATTATGCTTTTCTCTATGCCAAAATGTATTATTTTTAGTGCTAGTTATCTCATTGAGAAGAAACGCTTGCATGCCCAGGTACAGGACAGAATGGGATGAGATAGGAGCGGATATATTACCTTATGATAAACACACGCCCCACACTGGACTAAGTATCTGGCGGCTTCAATATGGTTGTTGACCACAGCTTCCAACAGAGGGGTACGGAGAACCTTGTCAGTGGCATTAAAGTTTGCTCCGGCCTGTGTGAAAAGTATGCAGCTTCAGAAATGGATGGTAAAAATGGAAGAGGAAGCAAAAGAAACAAGGGTAAAACGTTTACCTGAACCAGTACGTGAACCATTTCTAAGCTGCCCTTTTGAGCTGCTGCATGGAGAGGACTCCTTTTTAACTGTTGGTCATTCAGAAAACTAGAGTCTTGATTATCCACTGAGAGAATAAAAGGGAAGAAAATACAACATTAAAAGTATACTGAAAAAAGAAAAAGAAAAATATTTTCCTAGAATAACACACTGAGTAAAAGTGTGGTGACCAATGAACTGTAGTTTAGGTTTTCTAATGTTGGTAATTCAAGGGCAGAAAGAAGATGGTAGTAAAAAGAAGGAAATTGAAACTTACTGAGCATGAGTAAGACTTTATGCAGCTCTCCTTGTTTCACAGACAGGTAAAGTTGACGGGAGTTGTATCGAACCTTCTTCCTGCGATCTCTCTTCTGCTGAGACAAACTATGCAAGGAGGGAGCAGGAGGGGTGAATAACGACCTCCAAACCAAAAAAGACGAAGACACAAAATGGATGAATGCGGCAGCGACCAAAATACATCAAATTAAACATGGGAGGGAGGGGGGTCTTGAGAAATTAAACAAAAGTAAAGCCAGGGGAAATATAAACTAGATAAAAGAAATAAAAGTAAAGGGTTGAAAGAGTTCAAACACTAGGACACAGAGCAGAAGCAGGATGAGTATGTAGTTACACAGACAGAAAACCAGAGCATAGTAAACGGAGACCTATAGAAAGGGACGGCAGGGTGATACATTCCAGATCCCCACCTGTCTGTCTCCTGGGACAGTAAAGCTTTTCGGAGTGCATCTCGGGCTGGTCCTGGTGGTAACCCAGAAGTACTAAGAGAAGCTCCTGATGGTAGAAGAACGCAAGGACCATCTGAGCCATCACCAACTGTGGAATCATCAGAGAGATTACGCTTTCCTTCCCCAACACCACACATTCTTGCACTGAAAACAGAAGCAACAGGGAGAAAACAGACAGTTAGGAGCAGTTTGGTTTTATCCTTGCCTTGTGCCAGGACGAACGTAGATATTTTTTTCTTTTCTTACCTAGGCTGTGTCGTGTCTGCCCTACCTGGACCGCCCCCGTCATGGTGGGACGGTGCAGGAACGGCAATTGGGAGATCGGCTTTTGCTATTGTGACTTGCTCAGCTTCAGACGCGTCTTCCCCGCAATGAGGACAGAATATTACGCCGTTCAGAGGTGAGACACAAGCCTTGTGGAAACGATGATTTATCCTGAAATCTGGGTGGCATTCCAAAAATGTTCCCTGCGAAAAGAAAGCGTAAATGAACATCCAAGAGCTGGCTGCAGCCAGTAACAATGTATCTTTCCCAGAGCCGCCTGCAGCCAGTAACAATGCATCATTCCCCGAGCCGCCTGCAGCCAGTAACAATGCATCATTCCCCGAACCGCCTGCAGCCAGTAACAATGCATCATTCCCCGAGCCGCCTGCAGCCAGTAACAATGCATCATTCCCCGAGCCGCCTGCAGCCAGTAACAATGCATCATTCCTTGAGCTGCTGGCAACCAGTAACAATGTAGAATTCCTTGAGCTGCCAGCAGCCAGTAACAATGTAGAATTCCTTGAGCTGCCTGCAGCCAGTAACAATGTAGAATTCCTTGAGCTGCCTGCAGCCAGTAACAATGTAGAATTCCTTGAGCTGCCTGCAGCCAGTAACAATGTATCATTCCCAGAGCTGCCTGCAGCCAGTAACAATGTATGATTCCCCGAGCTGCCGGAAGCCAGTAAAAATGCATCATTCCCCGAGCCGCCTGCAGCCAGTAACAATATATCATGCCCAGAGCTTCCTGCAGCCAGTAATGTGTTATTCCCTAAGCTGCCTGCAGCCAATAACAGTGTATTAATCCCCGAGTTGCAGGTAATTACAATATATAAATATCTAGCGTAAGGAGAGAGTAGTGAAAGGGCTTAAAATATCACTTACAGTGCTACAGAAGTGTCCACAGCCTGGGCAGCAATGATGTTTGACCATGCGGGCGCGGTGGCTCTCACAGAGAACCATGAGTGGAACTCGACTGGAAGGCCGCATTGTTTCCCGTTTTGTGATTACAGCATTGCATCCACTTAGCTGAAGACACCAGGGAGAAACATGAAAAAATTAAGGTGCGTTTAAAATACAGCATAAAGATATAATCGTCAACAAAAAGCTTCACTTCAAAGACACTGCAAGCCACTTCGAAGACGGTCCTACTCAGAGATTCTTAATGCTGGCTTCTCTTGCATGTGCATTTTCACAACAGTCCTTGAAAGACATATGGAGTGAATGCTCTTTTCTCATCATTATTTTGCAAAGTGTTTTTCCCCCCCTGTATTAAACCGTATTCCAAGATTCCATCACTAGAGAGACTTTCTGAGACCTGGGTTCCAAGAGCCTAGTGATATACAATGATAGGAAATGGGTAGATAAAACCCCAACAAAAGACGCCAGAGCTTCAAAATCTCAGAGCTATGACTAAAGCTCAGAATAATGGGAGTGCAGACCGGGTACAAATTACATTTTGACACCATTTAATTGTAATCAGTCTGCACGGTTACTTTTATTGTTTCTTTAGAAGAAGAACATGGACCTGTAATAAAATGTGTATGTATACCGTTTTCAGTTTATTTTTTCCAACATTTGTTGTGAGAGATTGAGAAAAATGTAAAAGTATAAGTAGCAGCTTTAAAATGTAGTGTTGGTAGAGCAAGTTAGCTTCCACTACAGAAAACAAGAGTCAATATTACAGGTTTTTACCCATTCCCGATCACAGACTCATGTCACAAGTCAGTTTACAGGCTTACCCCTGCTACTCACCTCTCCATCCACACTCTCTGTGGCCATACAGACATTATTAGCTTGCTCACAGACTCTCTCCACACTGGGAGCTTCCATGCGGCAGCTGCAGAGAGGAAGCTCCTCAAACCTTTCTGTGTCCATAGAGCTGGATTCGTTGCATACTCCTAGAGAAGACATCAATGGATGACAATCAAAAGGCACTATGTTGAGGGAAATGGGAACGTGGCAGCCCCATTGTTAGCAATTAAAGTGCTCAATTTGTAATAAAAAAAAAAAAGGGAAAATGGCAGCACCATCATACTGAGAGGTGTGAGGGAAGCGAGGATGGCAGGATTTTGTTTTAAAGTTAGGCAAATACCAGGAATAAGAAGTGAAAAAAGGCATTTACCTGCATGATTGGGAGACATCGCCCCTTCGCTTGGAAGATCCAGGGCTCCCAGAGGCACCTCCGTGTACTCATTGTGTGTTCCCCCCGCAGAATTGACAGCTACAAGAGCAGGGAACAGGCTAGGACCACCAGAGAAACACCCAGCATGCATTTCATTTAATTATGTGTGCCTGCTGCCTGCACATACCTCTTCCCCTCCCCTCCAGCCCCAGAGATGTCATCTTTCCAATCATACCTGACCCAGGTTTTTCTCTCTCCCTCCGTTTCCTTTTTCTTGTAGGTTTCAGCCAAGCCTTATCCATCTTCCATTTCTTTTTACTCTTCTTCTTCAAACTGCTGGAGCTCTGAACAGAAGGAGGAGAATCACCATCAGCAGTCTATGTCACAATATTGGTTACATTACAGTCCATTAGAGTGTATTGTGGCCTACCACATGCCATCACACAGTGAAAGATATGTCACTGAGTGTAGGACAAAAATCAGATCACACTTACCCTTTCTGACTGATTCCCAGAACCTTCTTCTTCTTCCTCTTCCTCCTCCTCCTGCAGTCAACAAAATTCAATAAGGTTTCCTGTGTTTTAGTGGTGTCACTGTCCCCTTGTCATCACTCCATGGTAATGTTACACTCACCTTACTGTCACTGTCCCCTTGATCCTCAAGTGATATGCTATCATAGTAAAGGCTGAACTCATTCCCCACCTCCGGCTCCCAGTCTTCAGTTTCTGCTCCGCCAGGGTCGCGAGATGAACCAGGAGCAGGTGATGTTGGTATAGATGTACCCTGTGCGCGATAAACCGGAAGTATAATTTATGTAAACAACGGTTTCCAATGGAAGGCCCATATGCTAGATCAGTGATGGCGAACCTTAATTGAGTCAGTAGACAAAAAGGAAAGGGTGCGCCTAAATGAATAAATATAACGGATATATAAAATATAGGATAAGATAAATGAGATAAAAGTCCAGAACACTTATCAAATGTCCGTTATAGTAGTTTCTCCTTGTAGAGACAACAGATCTTGGGACGTCAGACGGGGTTGAGACTTCACGGTTTAAATAATGATATAGAAAATAGATAAAATTAAGTTTATATTGATTAGTATCTCCACCAAATGCAATACATACACACACAGTCCGCTTAATACGCGCACACAGTTTGCTGAATACACGCACACAAACATACACACAGACTGCTGAATATGTATATACATGGGGGGGCTGTGTGTGTGTGTGGGGGGATGGAGTGCTGTGTGTGTGCGCGCGTGTGTGGGGGGGGAATGGAGTGCTGTGTGTGTGCGCGTGTGGGGGTGGAGAGCTGTGTGTGTGCACGTGTGGGGGGGATGGAGTGCTGTGTGTGTTTGAGGGGGTGGAGTAGTGTGTGTATGTGGGGGTGGGGTAGGGGTGCTGCAGGTAGCAAATGTATTTTTGTTTTTTTAATAATCCTGACCTATACATAAAATATTTGTCCCACCCCCCCCTTCTTCTTACCTATGGTGAAAATACAAAAGCATTCCCCCCACCCCCCCAGGCGACCTATGGCCGCGTGCCCACAGAGAGGCCAGGTTCAGGATCACTGCGCTAGATAATGTCCTCAAGGGTAGAAGCATTGCACCCACTTTTCTTGATTAAACTTCAGAACCTACTGTATAATAGTGTTTGATTTCCAGCTTATTTTTCTAGTTATAGACATTTAAAATTCACACAACACACAAAATTAAATCCTGCTCTCAAACTCCACTACTCCTTGACGGCAGCAATGGCTATAGTACACATCAATTAAAATACATAATTTTTTTTTTACCTGTGCACTATCCCAAGTCCTGATGCACAGTTAAATAACAGGAGTGTTTTGTTAGTAAAAATTTAATATTCCACCTTCCTCTTCCCCTCAAAAAAATACTAACAAACAAAAAAACTACTTATTAAATTCAGATAGAGAAGGTGGGTTGTTCATGCAGGACATCATAAGCAATCTTATTCCCATAGATTGTTGGGAATCTTATCTCACCTCAATTTCACTGGATCGGTTTGCGGACGTTTCTGTTCCCAGGGAGGAGCTAGGTCTCTTTTGTGTGGAGTCTAAAGGAATAAGTGAAGAAAAGTAAGAAGAGATTAAAAAATAAATGTCTAACAATATAGGAGTTTTAGAAACATGTTCCACTCATTCCCCTTTAGGTCAGCCTGCCCTCCTACAAAACTCTCCATGCCCAAGGCCAGCACTCCGCACCTGGGCTGTCTCGTTTCTCCATCTCAGACTCTCTTCTGGCACCCGGTCTTTCTCCATCTGGAAAGAGCGGAATGTCCCCTGTTGCCTAGGATTAGTGACATGCAATATTATTAGATGTGAAGTGCACGAAAGAACAAGATAAAAAGATTACACATTGTATGTGTTACACAATATGCACAAGGTTAGAAGAGCTTTTGTACACAAAAATGTGGAGAAAGTTGGGTCCCTTCATTGTCATCATAACAGGGGAAAAAACAACACCTGAGTGTAAAATTAAATGAGATTGACTCAAAGTGTTTTCTGAACAGGCAAAGCTAGCAGTAAAAAGGACTTAAAGGGAAACATAAATTAGAATGTCATATCCCTCGCCTCCCCTGGTAACCTAACTTCACTTTTCCAGGTTGGGAGATATTTGGCTACATACAGCAGCCAAAATATCTGAATATGGGAACATCAGTGGGATTAAATAAAATACATTCAAACTGTTAAAAGTTCCAGATGCTAAATTTACAAGTCTATAAACTATAGTCTGCTTTAGAAATTAATTCCTGAAGCTTTACCTATTAAACTTTTTTTTATTTCAAGCTATGGTGGGTCTCCTAATAAACCAGGGATTGGTCAAGATATATCTGATGCTTTCTGCTTGAAACAGGACATCACTGAAGCCCAAATGCAGGGCAGACCATGTGTTTTTTTTTATTTTTATATATAAATAATTTTAGTTATTACATTAGCTGTATAAATTAAAAAATAAAAAGATGATCAGCAAAACTGACAATGGAGATCGTCTTTAAACTTGTATCATTAGAATCAAATATGCTATAACCAAGTTCAGATTCAATACTACTTTATACATACATTGCCGGCCCGGGGAATGGTCTTCCTGGCACGGTGCACTTTGTCTGTTCCATCCCTGGTTATACTCAGCAATCTCATGGCCAAGCTTTGGGCTGCATGTGGCAGCTTCCCTGCCCCAGTTAGAGACATCTTGGCTCTGCTGGTGACTGGAGACGAGGAAGAGGAGGGTGGTGTAGGGAGAGATTTGGAGGCATGGCCTGGGGGAAATTAATGTAATAAATATCAAACAGTTGTACACATGCCCACAACACAGTTTAGAAGAGAATATAGAATATCTCAGTAGCTCATTATCCTAAATGATTTTTCTGAAAGTGGGCATCCTTCATCAATAGTTACTACTGAAAAGCCAAACCTTTCAGACCACAAAAGCACAGATTCACTAAACTACTTAATGAGACATTATGCTAATAAAAATTGATGCTGCAATTGGGAGCATGACTAGTTTCCTCCCAAGACAACTAGCAGCTACACCCACCTGCTTTAAATGCTTGTTACATGGCAAAGACACATCTTACAGATATAACACTAGGAATCGCCTTCCACACTTATCACGTTGTATAAATAAAACAGAGTGTCAATCACTTTCAGTCTGTCCCAGTTTAAACATCATGAGCTCTTACCAGATAATCCTCTGGACACGGGAGAAAATGTGAGAATCTCCTTCTCGGTTTCGCTTTTTTCCTCCTCCTGCATAGGAGTCACATTTAGGGATGCTACTTCTTTGTTACTCTGTACCACTTCACCCTCAGGATCAGCTGTGAAGCAAATAGAACATTGTTCCCAAAAGGACTTTAATCAAGGCTAACATCCACATTAAAATAATTTACATGTATATAAATAAATAGTAACACATTACTACAACAAGTAAATACACTTGTGTGTTTTGAGACGCTTAAATGTATAACTGCAAGATTGACATGTGACCGATAACACAACCTCCGAGTGTGCTGTAAATCCAAGACAAACTGCAGTACCAGTAAGTATTAGAGAAGTAAATATCCAGCCCAGTTTATCACGGTGTAGTAAACGTCAGCATGGGTTCAGGATGAGAACTAAGTAGAGAGTAAAGGAATGTTGATGGAATTCCTGCATGAACACATAATTAATTCCTTTAGTATTCACTAAAATGTGAAATGTCTAGTTTCTAAAGTGAATTTCAAATTTTAGGACAAAGGAATTCCAAGAAAAATCAAAATGTCAGTTGTGTTTTAAATGTGGCTATTTTGGCTCAAAATTTTAAATTCACTTCTAAAAACATTTCAATGTAGTAAGTAACCCTGCCCTAAGGTGGCTAGATGGCCCCACTAAATAGGACAGCTCTCAAAAGTGGCTAAGAAATATTGACGTTTTAATAGATTTCAACTCTGGTGCGTTCCATACAAAAGGATACATTAAAAAAGTTAATGTATAAATTACATTCATTGGAAGACAGTAAATTGCTGGTTATTACGTATCCAAAACAAATCAACTTTTTCAAGAGGAAGATCAATTAACACACTGTAATAGCTAAATAAAACAACTATAGATTGTGCTGAAATAATTTCTGCCTGCTTAGTATATTAGTAAATTCTTCATAGTTTATTTTCTTTTGTAGTCATTGTTGGTATATAAATACTTTGTTATCATCATAATTATATATGCATGTAATATACAAGTTTTATGCAGCTGTTTAAGACTGTTGTATTTGTATAGTTGTGACATACATAAAGCCCTAGAAGATTTAAAGGGGAACTGCCACCTTCCATGAATTTTAATACGATGTTTACTTAGCCATGTATTTATTAAATATGTATTTTGTCAGTTGTGAAAACTAAAATTAAATCTAGAAATCCACCTATTTATTTTGTAACTGGGCGCCTCTATCTAAGCCCTCTGTCAGTTATTACTATAAGCCCTGCCCTGGAAGTCAGCAAAGAGATAGCGTACCGAAAAGAGGAGAAATAAAATGGTTTCTATTTTTCCTCTCCATTCACAATGTTTTCCCTTGCTTTGCCTTTTTCTGACCTGGACTGCTGTCATTAGCTAAATATTTATTGTAAGTTTAAAAGAAAATGAACCGTTTCATGAATCCCGTTATAAGTGGTTTTCAGAACTTTATTCAATGGCAGGAGTGTCAGTGCCTCTTAAATGAGTTTACATACACATATACAGAAATATGCAGCCATACCTCGGTTTGAGCTAGGAGACACTCCAAGGATTTCTCTCTCAAGAGGAGGGTCATTTTCAGCCTCTCTCACAGACACCACCTGTACATGAATAGAAAACGAGGGGACAATAGTGAGTTACTTTAAGTGTATATTAATGTCTCATGTTTAATTCTGGATGGTGCCAGGCGTAACTGAATGCACCGTTGCTTTGGTCTTTCTTTATAGCTGTGATATTTGATTCTCTCTCCCGGAAACTGAACATACCACACCATATCCCCTAAATCAACATATCCAACTACTGCCTCGCCACCTCTCTTCCATCTCCTCTCTTTTTTTCTATATATCCCCATACCTTGGAATTCCACTCCTATCACCCTCTCCCCATTCTTGTACCTCACCAGCATCTTCACTGCACTTCTTTAGTTATCATTCATCTCTTATGTCACCTTTCCTGCATCTTACATCACATCAGCTTGTTCCCTTACATTTATATTTGTAAATCTGCTCTCTTCTATTTTCTGTATCTTGCATGTCCCGTCTCCCCCTTGCATGTGCCTTATCCCCATCCTGTTAGTCTGTTACCCCCAACTTCCCTTAACCCCTCCTTTGCTCATTTCTTATTTTCTTGTCCTTTGGCCATGTCTTTCCTGTTCACCTCTGCCTCCTCCAATAACACCCTCTCTAACCCACCTCTTCCCTGCACTGACCCTCAGCCAGCATTTTCTAATCTCCTACTTCATATGCCATGTGTGATGTCCATGATGGCCTTTCTCTCCCCTTGCCATTGCTCCCTGGAGGTTTTCCTTTTCAGGCTGCCTTGTTATTATGAGAGCTCTGGTCCCTCAGGTTCACTCCCACCATGCTCAGCCAATCTCCCAGAGAGCCAGCTGTTTCCCATTGCTCCCTGGTGGTTTCCCCTTTCAGGCTGCCTTGTTATTATGAGAGCTCTGGTCCCTCAGGTTCACTCCCACCATGCTCAGCCAAGCTCCCAGAGAGCCAGCTGTTTCCCATTGCTCCCTGGTGGTTTCCCCTTTCAGGCTGCCTTGTTGTTATGAGAGCTCTGGTCCCTCAGGTTCACTCCCACCATGCTCAGCCAATCTCCCAGAGAGCCAGCTGTTTCCCATTGCTCCCAGTCTGCCTGGCTGGCTCTCTGCCCTCCCCCTCCCACATGGCGCCCACATCCCGCAGGTTTATTTAAAATCCGTCCATTCTCACTCTCTCTCTTTCTCCCGCCGTCTCCATGGCTCTTTCACACGGAGCTTCCCGTCCTGCCCCTGACCTCACATCCGGCTCTCGGCTTCAACTGATTGGATGGCACAAGGAACGGCCATTCTGAACTCCCATTGGCCCTTCTGTAACCATGGTGAAGGATTTTCGCATTGCGTTCCACTGGGTCTCACCTCCTCGCTCTCTGATTGGATACCTGCACTCCAAGCCTCGTTTCAAAAACGTGCGTGTCACAGGCGGAACTCGCGATTTAATTGGCTGCCTGGAATCCAAGCCTCGCTCCCAGGCACTGGCCCATGAGAGCGTGCAGGTGATTGGCTGTAGTAAGACCCGCCCTGTGTACCTGGCTGGTCCCTCTTAAAGCGGCATCACTTAGTTTTCACCTTGTTGCAGGTTGACAAATAAAAACAGAAAAAAAAACCAAAGTATTAAGATGGCGCTATAACAATTCTCACAGTTCAATATTAATAAATAAGCAGCACTGTATATAGTGAAAGAGCTCCACTCACATATAACTAAAAAAATAAAATAAAGTGTGCTGTGCCTTTAAAAACTACAATTAATTAATAATATTCACATTAATATCATATAAATGTGTAAAACACAAAAAAAAAAAACATCAGAGCAATAATAAATGACCAAAGTGACAAGGTGAACTTGTGAAAAAAAACCAAAAACCCTTTTTAGTGTATTGTGCAAATATTTGAAAAAGACCTTTAGTAACTCCACCCATTGTAAAGCGCTGCGGAATTTGATGGCGCTATATAAATGGCGTAATAATAATAACAATAACTCACGTATAAGTAGCCCTTATTATTGCTTGTGTCAGAGTTTCAAAGTGTATCTCAAAATCGAAAACGAAAAAAACACAAACTCATAGGGCAATATGCATATACAATAAATAAAACCGATATAAGAGTAGAGCAATTTAGTCTGCGCTGAACTGAGCTGGCATCTTTTGTAACATATGTCGGCTTGAGGCTGTGATGAAAGTAGAGAAATTCTGTATTTAACACTCTGGATTAAAAGCAGCTGTCGGGCTTCTAAGTCCTCTCTGTGTATCTTCCTCCTCTCCAATATGTGGTTAATTCCCTGGGTCGTGACTCCAAGGGCTACAAACTCTACCACTGGTTCCGAGAGGCGGGATGAACCTCTCCCAATTTCTCCGGTTCCTCCGGCTCCGGGCCAGGTTAGGGAGCGAGGAGAGGCAGAGAGGTGATTTGCGCACTCACCAGTACAACTCCACTCCCAAGTGAGTTACTAAAGATCTTTTTCAAATATTTGCACAATACACTAAAAAGTGTTTTTGTTTTTTTCACAAGTGCACCTTATCACCTTGGTCATTTATTATTGCACTAATGGTTTTTAGTATTTTACACATTCATATGGTATTAATGTGAATAGCATGAATTAATCTTAAAGGCACAGCGCACTTTGTTTTTTGACAAATAAATACAACTGCCTGCCTTTATCTACGGTTACTAAAACGTGTGTGAGCTCACACCCTATGTGCCCTCTCACAGGATCACTCACTGCCTTCTCTCCTGTATAATCCGAACTCTGCATAAAGCAGGGCAGAGGGTTCACTATTATTATTTATACAGCGCCAACATGTTATCCAGCGCGGTACAAAAATAGTGTAGGGATCATTATTATTATTATTTATATAGCGCCAACATATTACTCAGTGCGGTACAATCATAGGGCGGGAATCAATATTATTATTTATATAGCGCAAACATATAACGCAGTGCGGTACAATCATAGCGTGGGAATCGATATTATTATTATTATTTATACAGCGCCAACATATTACGCAGCGTGGTACAGACATAGTGTGGGGATCATTTATAATATGATTTATATAGCGCCAACAAATAACGCAGAGCGGTACAATCATAGCATGGGGATCATTATTATTATGATTTATATAGCGCCAACATATAATGCAGCATGGTACAATCATAGCTGTTCCCACCTCCTATAACCTCCGATCCAGTACTAGCACGATATTTAGCAGCATACCGCAATAAACAAAAAGGGTCTTGATCCTCCTTTTCCTACACAGTGTGTGTGTGTATATATATAGTTTGTAGATTGTATCTTATTTTGTGGACAAAGACCCAGGACATACTTGAAAACGAGAGAAATCTCAACGTATCCATCCTGGTAAAAAATTTTATAAATAAATAAATAAATATTACACAGCGCGGTACAAACATAGCGTGGGGATCATTATTATTATGATTTATATAGCACCAACATATAACGCAGAGCGGTACAATCATAGCGTGGGGATCATTATTATTATGATTTATATAGCACCAACATATAGCGCAGAGCAGTACAATCATAGCATGGGGATCATCATTATTAATTATATAGCACCAACATATAACGCTGCGCCTTACAATTATAGCGTGGGGATCATTATTATTATTTATACAGCTCCAACATATAACACAGAGTGGTATAATCATACCGTGGGGATCATCATTATTATATATATAGCACCAACATATAACACAGCGCCTTACAATTATAGCGTGGGGATCATTATTACTATTTATACAGCTCCAACATATAACGCAGCGCGGTACAATCATAGTGTAGGGATCAATGTTATTATTATTATTTATATAACTCCAACATAGTAGGCAGTGCGGTACAATCATAGCGTGGTGATCATTATTATTATTATTTATATAGCTCCAACATAGTACGCAGCGCGGTACAATCATAGCGTGGTGATCATTATTATTATTATTTATATAGCTCCAACATAGTACGCAGCGCGGTACAATCATAGCGTGGGAATCATTATCACCTATATAGCGCCAACATTTTAGCGCTCTAGCTATTGTGCAGCACACTTTCCATGATGCCCTCATAGTGAATTGGAATTTAATTTCTGCGTAGGTGTTGATTTAAACGTGAGACACAGTGAAAGCCACGCTGATTATGAAATTCATTAGGAGCGTCTCCTGTTTTTGTACATTTCAGTTTGTGTGCCGTGTATTTTTATTGAACATTACATTATCCTTCTGTTTGCTCTCTGCCACATTCTACGGAGTGTCTCTTTCATTTCCATTATTTTTTTGTGCTGCATCCCAACTGGATTTTTCTTGGTAAAGCTGCGGTGGGGGGGAGTTTACCCCTATGATCGGAGTTATAGGAGTTATATTTATTTGCACATATATAGTGGTTTGATCTGCTTTTTATTATTTTTATTGTCAGTTGCTCTCATTTATCAAAGTGCATATTTCTATAGATTTCTTTTATAAAATGTAAAAAAATAAAACTCACTTCACACGTAAAAGACTCGAGCAAACTGAATTGCTTTGTATTTGTGGAGTGTTCCTTTACCATGTCCTCAAGGATGCCTATGACTCCATAACGAGCAGACGTTAAAAGTTATACCCTGGTGTATGAAGATTTCATATGCCGCAGGAAGGACACCAATTTATTGATCATAACCTTTTTATCGATTTCCTCCCTACAACATATGAGTTTACATACTGCAGGGTAAAACTATTCCTGTGCTACATAACAACATGAATAAGTATATCTCCAGGAATATAAGTTAGGTATGGTAACCCTTAAAGGAACACTCCAAACACCATAACCACTACTCGGCAGACCTCTCTCAGACACTGAGCTAAGTCCTGAACTGCAGTGGCTCCAGGGCACTCCTGGCCCACTGCAGTGATTATGGCGCTTGAAATGTTCCTTTGATTGTCATAGGATTTTCCTTGCATTTCTATATACATTTTAATTATTTACAGACATTAAAGCTATACAGAAAAAGTGAACATTATGAACATAGACATATACTGACACACAAGGGATTATTCTCTAAACCTGGATATCAGAGAAATTGACAAGTGAATTGTACATTGTAGGCCAAACTAGCGGGATTTGGAAAAACATATCAAAACGCCACTATGTTGCCATTTTAGCTACAATCTTAAATCCCAAGGTCAATTCTCCGCAATTCTAATTGTCAGGGTTATTCTCTAAAGTGAGAATTCAAAGTGAATTTCAATTTTAAGATCAGAGTAGTCGAACTGAAAGCATTGTGGATTTACAGCATTTTTATCTAGATCGTCTACTTTGACCTTAAATTTGCAATTCACTTTAAATTCTCACTCTAGTGAATAACTCTGTTAGTTACTAAGCCTAACAGGGTTATTCACTAGACTTTACATTTTTGCAAATTAAACCCAAATGTCAGAACTGAGGCAAAAATAGCAGATTCTTCAATTTATCCACAGACACAATTTGGCAAAGTCTGCCTCCATTTTGCCATTAGGATTGAATTTGTGAAAATTTGGTGTTTAGTGATTTCCCCTGTGTGTACGACAAGATTTGCTCCAATTCGTATAGTATCGCTGTGTCCAGTGAACACAATATACACAACAGTCCAATGCATTTGACCTGCTTCGTTAAATTATAGAATGATACAGTTATAGCTCTATACAGGAGATGTGAGCAGCAGACGGGTCCATGATATCAATAGCTAATATCACAAGGGTAAGGTAAAAATGCAGTATCATTCATAAAACAAATATTTTATTTCATAAAAATTAAGTATTATTACAGAATGACTAAAAAGACTGCATGGAGCGTGAGAGTAACATTATACTTTTGGTGGAAAAGGGAAGTAGACGCATTCATGGGGTCTTTCAAAATTTAGTCCTAAAGTCTATAGAGTCCAACACTAGCTCATAAAAGGTGAAAACCGTGACAGCAAAGAGGTCACTCTAATAAGGGCACTGGGCAGCTGGAAGAGGTTAAATTAGAGTTACGACATGTTAGCTGAACATTGATCAACATATGTTCTGTAAAGCTCAATCTTGCATTTTAGAAATGTCTGTCTTCCAATCGGAATTTCCATCAACTTCCATTAAAGTCTTACTTAACCATCACCCAACTAGAATGTTAACCTCGGCCACCCCGGCCTCCAAGACATTCTGAGCGGTGGTCTTTCCGTGCTGTTCTTTTAGGTGACGTCGTATGGCTGGCTTGTGCGCAAACCTCACCGAACAATAAGAGCAACGGTAAGGACGTTCCCCACTATGTAGGTTGAGATGGTCATGAAGCGTGGATTTCTGAGTGAAGCATTTGCCACATATGTGACAGGAGTGCGATTTTACTCCCCGATGCACGTTCATGTGACGGTTAAGATTACTGCTATGGTTGAATTGTTTACCGCACCGTGGACACATGAAAACAAAATGCTGCGCCCGCATGTGGAAAACCAGCTTCTCCACTCCCTGAAAAACCTCCTCGCATTTACAGCACCTAATTGGACGTCTACTTCCAAATCTTGCATCCCCAGTGACCAGTGAACCCATTGCTCCTCCTAATCCACCAAGTACACTTCTAGATCCACCATCAGCCACCATGCTGCTCTGGCATCCACCTGAGCTATCAAACACCTCACCTTCTTCTTCATGGTAATTGCTTGGGATAATTAGCACACCTTCACCACCCTCCACTTCATCACTGTAGATGGCTTTCAAAATCCCTCCCTGTTGGATGTTCCCATCACCAGTCTCACCACCTTCTACTGTAGAATTTACTAAAGCCTCTTCCTGTTGTGTCCCAGCATTCTGCTCCTCTTCCCTTTTCCCCCATGAGCGTCCCCCCTTACTTCCTCCCATACCGGCCTCCACTTTCACAATACAAATATCCGACGATGATCCTTCTTCTCCCTGCTCCTCTTCCTCTTCTTCCTCTGCCATTAGCAACATGTCTTCCTCGCTTTCCTCTTCCGTCTTAGCCTCCGCTGTAAGAGATTGCCGGTTGTCTGATGACCGAATGGAGCTCATTGTTGTTGTTGAAGCACGGGAGGGCATGCCTCTGTTAGGGGCTCTTAAACCAATTTTTGGCTCAATAAATTGCGTGAGAGCTTCACGACACTTTTCCACCACATGCTCCATTTGTAAATAGCTGGCTGCAGTCAGATAGTTCACAATATCCCTCACAGAGAACTCGAGGAGGCCTGTATAACAGGAAAGGAGGAGATCAGAGACTACCCTAGGTCCATGCATGAGAGACACCTGGAGCTCAGAGCCTGGATTGAGTAGAAACTGGTCTCTGAGGAAAGGAGAGCAAGCAGCTAGGACCACACGGTGGCCTCTAAATTTGAAGCCATCAGAAAGCACAGTGATGTCGCAAAATCTTTCTTCCGATCGTAGCTGGTTCATGGTGCGAAGGGTGGCTGCCTCATGGCCAGGCAGTTGGAAGCGCAGAATGTCAGGGGTAGACGCCATCTTTTTTTTCCGAGGCAACAATATTTTGGAAGAAGAGATTTTTAGCACTTACGGATCAATTCTTGGTTGAGCAATGGGAATCCTGTTTAAGTGGACTTGCAGAGTCTTTTTTTGCTTGGTAGAGCTGTAGATGAACCATTAGAACATACGCTTGTAATTAATATATGTCTGGCAGAAGTCAATGGCATATCAGTGAAAGAGTCTTGTAAAAGGAGTGAGGTCTTCAGTGATGCATATTAAATCAGGAAAGTTGTAAAGGTTTTATTTTTCAAAGATCTTAAAGTAGCTCGATAGTCGGTTTGATATTTGTCTGATGTCGGAGGTCACATTGATAAAATCATAGTCTTTCACTCTCAACAGACAGTTCACCCGATGGGTGTTTTTTGTACCTGTCCTTCATGTGGATTTTACTGTTCTAACGACCAAGGCAACATGTCCTAGACAGAAAAAGATGGTACAGTAAATACATGAATCCAGAGTAAACATGCAGTGTTCGATTAACTAACAAAGAAACTCGAAAGACAACTCTTTAAAATGAACTAAAATTGCAGAATTGGAAAATTACCCATTTATTACCCATCTTAGCTATATCTCCTAACTTTCAAGTCAGCTTTTAAATAAAAGAAAAAACTTGCTAAAACTACTCAAGATAAATGAATGCCTTTTATTGAAACACATTACACTGAAACATTAGGAACTCTGTACTACATACATTTCTCGGGGGAAAAGTTCTAAAAGTGGAGCAGTTCCCATAGAAGAGAATTCCAATTGAATTTCAAATTTAAGGTCAAAGTAGTCAAAGTGGAAAAATGATCAAAGCTTGGCTATGCTTTTAGTTTGGCTACTTTGGATTCAAGTTTAAAATTCTTTTTGAATTCCAACTTTAGTAATTAACTCTGTCTAGGGATCTTTGGGAGGTGGACAAACCTGTTAGAATTTGAAAGGTCTCCAACAGGGCGCGAAGTAATAAAACAATCATGTCTTGTGTCCCTGGCAGAGGACATTTAATAGGGAATACAGTGAAACACATGACCATTCATGAGTGAGTAGAAAAAACAAGCAATGCTACAAGTAAATGGACTTGTGAAGGGTTAATGAGAAACTTAATGGCAGCATATAAGGGAATTCTCACTGTGATAACTGTGACACTAGCAGTGACAGGGTTAATGAGGCATTCTATAACAATTAGATTAAGAGTAAATATTGATGAGAGCCATCTATCAGGTTTTTGGGCACCTTGCTCCCCAATACTTGAAGCAGATGCTGGACTACCACTCCCATCCATCCCCAGCCAGCCAGCTTACAGTGATGAGACTTGCAGTTAACTCCAGGATACATAGCCATGCTGTCCTGTAAAGTAGGAGTTACAGCAGGAATGGAGAACATACTGCTCTCCAGCTGTGGTAGAACTACAACTCCCGTGATGCTGTGCCACACTGAAGCAAAGCTTCATGGGAGTTGTAGTCCTCCCGCACACAGAGCTCTGCCTTTTGGCTAAATCAGGGTTAATGGGATGACCTCTGCGTCAGTGAGGTGATAGGTAGGACAGGGGTTAATGGGAGGCAGCTGTTTAAACAGGTCACAAGGAGCAGGAGACAACATGACTGGCAGGAGAAGGAAGTTTGGGGAGAGGGCTCCCCACTCCCCCTTTCTGCAGCGCTCCCCTTTCCTTTCTCTCTTCCCCCCCTTTAATTTAAAGGTATAGACACACATTACCTCCATACACAGGCCTTTCCTCTCCTATCTCCTCCTCTTCCTGTTCCCCAGCTTCCTTCCCTGGATCCCTCCTCCCTCTCTCTGCAGGATTTAAAGGGGTATAGCTGGAATCTCAGGGCATGGAGAGAGGGCAGCACTGGCAGCAGGGTTTAGCAGCCACTCATTGCCTCTCTCTGTCTCTCCCTGCCCCCTCCATGCCCTCTCTACCCCCTCCATACCTCCTCCTGCCCTCTCTGCCCCCTCCATGCCTGCCCTCTCTGCCCCCTCCATTCCTCTCCTGCCCCCTCCATGCCTGCCCTCTCTGCTCCCTCCAAACCTTCCCCTGCCCCTCCATGCCCTCCTACCCCCATACCTCCCTCTGCCCCTCATACCTCCTCCTGCCCTCTCTGCCCCTCCATACCCCCCTGCCCCCTCCATTCCTCTCCTGCCCCCTCCATGCCTGCCCTCTCTGCTCCCTCCATACCTTCCCCTGCCCCCTCCATGCCCTCTCTGCCTCCTCCATACCTCCACCTGCCCTCTCTGCCCCTTCCATACCTCCACCTGGCCCCTCCATGCCCTCTCTGCCTTCTTCATACCTCCCCCTGCCCCTCTTCCTCCCCCTGCCTCCCTCCATGCCTGCCCTCTCTGCCCCTCCATGAGCTCTCCGCCCCTACATGCCTCCCCTGCCCTCTCTGCCCCTCCATGCCTCCCCTGTCTCTTTGCCCCCCTCCATGCCCTCTCTGCCTCCTTCATGCCTCCCCTGCCCCTTCCATGCCTCTCTCTGCCCCCTCCATGCCCTCTCTGCCTCCTTCATACCTCACCCTGCCCTATCTGCCCCCTCCATACTTCCCCCTGCCCCTCCATACCTCCCCCTGCCCCCTCCATGCCCTCTCTGTCTCCTTCATACCTCCCCCTGCCCTCTCCTGCCAGAGCACAGTCAGGGACTCAGCAGGAGGGGGCTGGGTGCACAAGCCTAGTAATTATCAGTTGTTTATAGTGTGTGTTATGTTTGTGGCTGTGTGTGTGTAAACTTACTGTTGGAATACCAGCTGCTGTAGGCTTTAAATCCCAGGCACTGACTGGCTGAGGGTGGTAGTCATTCCTGGATGTGATGTCTTAAAGCTGCCAGAAAAGATTTAAATCTATTTATATATTCTCAGTGATCAGCAACGCTTAGCAACCCCTTTGGAACATGCTAAGTGCTAGGGTCTACGCACAAACACAACGATTTCACAATTAGATAGTAAGCTCATGGGCCATATTGCTAAGAAACTAGTTTATTCTTTCTGTAACTGTATATATTAAACTCATGAATTCTGCAAAAGTACTAGTCTTTGTACAGTACCCTCGAAGAGGCGCCATAAAGTAAACTGTATTAAACATACAAAAATATCCATGTAGTCTCCTTTCTCAGCTGAAATATATCATTTTATTATTATTTTTATTTTTTTAAATTTTTTTAATTCTTTATTTTTGTTGTGCAAGCGTTTATATACAGACTTGCGATACCACGACAGTATTGGCAAGTAGTTCAAGCATCAAACATTGTGTAACTTTGACATGGTATATGAAGTGACTGCACACATTTTTTAAAGTAATATACAACGGGTTAACAATACATGCTGGGTGTATCATGCGATAAGGTAAACATGCTATATCTGGGGTAGGCTAGGACCACGCTGAACCAGTGTGTCTATCATGGTGTAAGACATAACAGATTTATACTGCACGTTTGGTATCTAGACAAGATAATATAATATTAAATCTGCATATATGCCTAGCTCACTGATACTGAAGAATCATGTCAGACACACGTGGTGAATTATGTTATGCAATGCACGATTGGTACGTTTTAAGTAAGAATTATTGTTTAACATGCTGGCTAGACAAGAGCTTACGTTTTAAGTAGTAATTATTGTTTTACATATTGGCTAGTCAAAAGCTTAGTTAGGACCACTGGAGCTTAGCAGATCGTTGCCATTTAACATAGGTAGGAAAGGCAATACTGTAGCAGTGTATAGCAAAGAATACTGGGGCTTAGGCAGCAAGACAGAGTTAAAACTGTAGTCCCTTGTAAAGCCCGCGTAACGTTGGGCTGTGGTTGTCTCTGTGCTGGCCTATAGGATGGGTTAACTTCAGACTCGTGGGCTGTGACAGGGAGACACAGTAGTCCTGCTCAATGCACAATGACAGGGATCCACATGCTTTCACAGGTGTCTAGGGTACTCATCTGGGTGGTAGTATCATTTTATTATTTTTTTTAATAAAGAGGTAATATATACATTAATGGCCACACAATGTATAAGCAATGATCCACTATATATGATGCTTTATATTCTACATTTACATAATTACATTGGTTCTGAGCTGTGGATATCTCCTAAATCTGTTTTGGAATGCCGTCTTCAGAGTGTTCACAAAAATCGGAAAGCTTTCGAGAGTTAAAATACGAATAACAAAGATTATTCGAACCTAGCCAAGCTGTGACTGTAACTGGGTTGGATCATTTTGGACAGAATTTTGCCTTTCTTATTAAAATTCTATGCAATTCACAGTTTAGTAAATAACCCTGTTTTATATATTGTTTATTCAATAATACCCAGTTGTGAACTGTAAACTGAGTTACAACATTTAGGCTAATATAGCTAAGCTTTTGAGAATTTTTTTGGAGTTCGGTTTTTAATTCACTATAATTGCTAGTCTGCTGAATAGGTATTAACAAGCAAACAAAAAGAGATTTGGAGGTATTGCTTGCTTTTATAAATAGTCAACAAATTCTGCAGCTCTGTACAACTGGGGAAAAGACAGTCCAAAATGGGAAGAGGACCCTTCCCGTGAGCTGAGATCTTACTGTTAGTCAAAGGACTTAGCGAGATAGCCTGGGAGCAAACTAAAGCAGCGTTTCCCAATTGGTGTTCCGAGAACACAAATGGGGTACCGGCAAAATTTCGGGAGACAAAATGGCCGCAGGCATGAGGGAGCACTCTCCCCTGCTAAGCTCCCTCGCGTGCACAGCAGTGATGCCGGAATAGGACATCACTCCGGCTCCGGCATCACTAAGAGGCGCTCAAGGGAGCTGAGCAGGAAGATCACTGCTGCCTCGCCGTCCGCACTATATGCCAGCCTCTCAGCCCAGCAGCCCAAATGGACCCCAGGGAAATAGAGACTCCATGCCAGCAGTCCCAAAGGTAGGGAGGCTAGGTAGATAGAAATTTAAAAAAAATTGTGTGTGTGTGTCTGTAAAGGAGTTTGTATGTGTGTTTGTCAGTGAGTGTGTGTATGTGTGTTTGTCAGTGAGAATGTATGTTTGCTTGTTAGTGAGAGTGTATATGTGTTTGTATGTGTGTCTGTCAAAGAGTATGTGTGTTTGTCAGTGAGAGTGTATGCGTGTCTGTCTGTCAAATAGTATGTGTTTGAGTGTGTGTGTGTGTGTGTGTATGTTAGTATGTGTGTATTGGTGTGTATGTGCCAGTGTATATCAGTGTGTTTGTATGTATGTATGTCAGTGTGTGTGTATCTGAGTTTGTGTCAGTGTGTGTATATGACATTGTGTGTATGTGTCAATGTTTGTATCTGTGGGTGCAAGTGTGTGTATATATCACTGCGTGTATCTGAGTGTGTGTGTATTTGTGAGTCAAGATGTGTGTTTCTGTCACTGTGTGCACCTGATTGTGTGTATCTGTGTGACATTATGTGCCAGTTTGTGTGTGTGTGTGTGTGTGTGTGTGTGTATCACACTGACACACAGATACACACACTGGCACATACAAACACAGATACACACACTTTGAGACATAGATACACACACCTTGACACACAGATACATACATACACAGACACACACTGTGTGTCGGATTTTGCATCAGGTTAGACAAGATGTTGATACACTATGTCAAAGGGTTCCACTGGAAAAATTATTTGGGAACTCCTGATCTAAAGGTATCTAATAAGGAGCTGAAACAGGAACAAGCAGGGAATTGATATCATTCCTTGGTGTCTTGTGTTACCATATTCTTTCCATTGGACACCACATCATAATGTCTATTCCATCGTGTCAATATATTTTCTCATTGAGCAGTCCCCTGTGAGGTCCATGCCACATTCTTCTTTGAGCTAAAATTAGCAGTCGAGAGTAAAGCAGTTAGTCTCTTCAAATCTCCTGTGAAATACCAGAGTAAAATAAAATTCTAAAAATATATTCACAAAAGACAATTGAGAAAAAAATACCCACTCAGTTAAATGTTTATTCACTTAATGAGTAAATTGAGTGATTGTTGTGTGATAGGCCAGACTAGCACTTTGTTAGACATACTGGCGATCTGTTCAGTAAGTTATAAAGGTATTTGCTATTTAAAGGTACATAAATCACTGTGCTTTTTCCACTAGACATTCAGAAACTGTGTCCCATCAGGTACCCAGCCGCCATGACCCTGACACTGGGACGGGCACACATTGAGCACCTTTTTATATCTCGCAGGTCTTCGGCTAATTGAAGGCAGATGTGAAGGATGTTCTATTGTAAAACATTTGAAAATGAACTACCAGCCCTTCGATATAAATGCAATATGAGTTTCAGTGTCAGCTGATTGTTCTCAGCCAATGAGTTACTGCACTGCCGGGCTTAGCTCAGACCAAGATCTTCTGGCTTTCTGTGGGATGCAGTGTAAATGGGGAGTGGTGCCCAGGGAACCCAGATAAGAGGTCAAAACTTTCTAAAATAGTTTGACAACTTACACTGGGGCCATGGCACTCCCGGCACCAAAACCACTACAGTGCACTGAGAGATTATGAGGCTTGGACTGTTTTTTTTAGCCACAGGATAATTAGGAATAATGTCTACGCGTTTCGTGGTCACATGTTCTCACTTTCTTCTCGGAAACTCACCTCTGGCAGCCAGGAGGTCATTTCTTCACCCAGTCTTTGGAGCACTCCTCATATTGCCCAATAACAGTCATTGATGCTGATTGTCCATAAATAATGGCTACCATTGAGAATGTTCCCATGTAACTGTGGACTGATACATTGTTCAGTTTCCAGACTTAGCTGATGAAACCTGAAGATGGCACTGTTGTCCAGGGACTCCATGTTCACCCTTGGTTGACCATGTAGAGTTTTGATTGGTCAGTTTGGACCCATTTCAATCTCCAGGGCAGTTTTGGCTTGCATTTTCTTTATTCCTTTGATCTCTAAAGAGTGA